TTTTTTCCATCCTTCTGTATTTTCCAGGACCCACACTCCAAGACCGTGATTAGGATGAGTGAACTCTGAAATGGACTGTATTACTTCACTTTCCATTCCACTGCCAACCACTCACAAATTGTTCATCATTCCACCTCTGCCATCAGTTCCACACTTTGGCATATATGCTTAGGCCACGCCTCACAAGGCCGGCTTGCTCTCATTCCTGGAGTCAATACAACTCACTTGGACAACTGTTGTGACATTTGTCACAAAGCTAAACAAGCTCGCCTACCATTTCCAGTCAGCAATACCCGTAGCAATTCACCTTTCTCCTTGATACACTGTGACATATGGGGCGGTTATAAGACCCCCTCTTATTTAGGAGCAAGATACTTCTTGACTATAGTAGATGACCACACAAGATGTATGTGGGTCTACCTTCTAAGAAATAAATCTGAGGTTGGTCATTTTCTTATATCTTTTTGTGCTATGGTGAATAGACAATTCAATACTAATGTGAAGCAAATACGCTCTGATAATGGTTTGGAGTTTCTCTCAGGGCCTGCTCAACAATATTTTTCACAACAAGGTATTTTACATCAGAACTCATGTGTAGATACACCCCAACAAAATGGAGTGACAAAATGAAAACACCGCCATTTACTAGAAGTGGCCCAGGCCTTGAGGTTTCAAGCTTCCCTCCCTCTTCACTTTTGGGGGGAATGCATACTTACAACCACATATATGATAAACTTACTACCCACTCCCTCACTTTCCAACATTTCTCCTTATGGAGCCCTTTTCCACCAACCACCCTCCTATCATCACTTAAGAGCCTTTGGATGCCTATGTTATGCTCAAATTCGTCATCGATCTCATGACAAATTTGCACCTCAGGCTACTCCTTGCATTTTTGTGGATTATCCACACGGCCAAAAGGGGTACCGGGTTTACTCTCTTGACACAAACAAAATATTTACTAATCATGACATCATATTCTATGAGGACCGCTTCCCCTTCCAGCATGGCCTCTCAACCATCTTCTCACATCACCAATCTGTTCTTCCTTTATCTACCTTTGATGATTATGACTATCCTAGCCCAACCCAACCACCCACTCAGCATAATAATCCACTAACTAGCACTAGTGCGCCCATTAACACCAATCCTACCACTACAGATCAGCTCACCCCTATTCCCGCACATCTTCAAAACGACACACCACTATTCCCGCACATCTTCAAAACTACATTTTCCAACTTCCCCCTTCCGTATCCCAGTCAAACCAAGCCTCCATTGAAGTTGAGCCCAAATCCTATTCTCAAGCTGCTCGTGACCCACGTTGGCGTCAAAGCTATTGCGGATGAAATTGCAGCACTTGAACACAATAATACTTGGATCGCCACCCCTCTACCTCCTGGCAAACGACCCATAGGAGCTAAATGGGTTTATCGCATCAAATATAAGGCCGGTGGAACCATAGAGCGCTTTAAAGTGCGAGTTGTTTCGAAAGGCTACACCCATGTTGAAGGCCTTGATTACCATGATATTTTCACCCCTGTGGCCAAACTCTCCACTGTTCGTTGCTTACTAGTTGTAGTTGCCATTAAGGGCTGGGATCTCCATCAATTGGACATGAATAATGCCTTTCTTCACGGTGATCTCCATGAAGAAGTATACATGAGTATTCCCCAAGATTTTGACTCAACAAATCCCACTCATGTTTGCAAAATACAAAAGTCCCTCTATGGCCTCAAACAGGCCTCTCACATGTGGTTCAAGAAATTTACTCAAGCACTTCTTTCTTTGGGATACTGTCAATCTTTTCTGGATTATTCCCTATTCACATCAGTTATGGGAATTCTTTTGTTGCTGTTCTTGTATATGTGGATGATGTCATTCTCACAGGAAATGACAATGTGTGCATTCTCTCTCTCAAGAAACACCTTGATGATCATTTTGGCATAAAGGACTTGACTTGGGTTCACTCAAAATTTTTCTTGGATTAGAGGTATCTCGATCAACTTCTGGAATTTTTCTCAATCAGCACAAGTATGCGGTTGACATTCTTCGAGACACCGGTATGACTGAATGCAAACCTTGCTCCACACCCATGGAGCAACAAAATCATTTTGTTATAGTTCCAGTGCTCCATACTCCAATCCAACTCAGTAAAGAAGACTTGTTGGACGACTTGTGTACTTAACAGCCACTCGTCCAGACCTTAGCTTTGCTGTCAATTGCTTGAGTCAATTTATGCATGCTCCCAAGCAAGAACATTACAATGCTGCCCTTTGAGTGGTGCGTTACATCAAAGGCACAATATCTCATGGCATCTTCTTCTTAGCTTCTATTTCACCACAACTCCATGGTTTCTGCGACTCTGATTGGGCGAGTTGCCCCCTCACTCGCCGCTCCACCACGGATTACTTAACTTTACTAGGAGACTCCCCCATCACTTGGAAAACCAAGAAGCAACATATAGTCTCCCGTTCATCTGCTGAATATGAATATCGAGCAATGGTCGTCACAACAGCTAAACTCATTTGGCTAAAACGTCTCCTTGCTGAATTGACAGTTACTTTGTCTGAAACCCCAACACTCCATTGTGACAGCAAGGCCGCCTTGCAAATACCAGCCAACCCTGTGTTCCATGAGCGAACAAAACACATTGAAATTGATTGTCACTTTGTTCGTGACTACATACAACACGGTGATCTCATAACTGTTCATATCTCCAGTGCCTCTCATCCAATAGACCTCTTCACTAAGGTTGTCTCCACAGATCGCTTTCTATACCATTTACCCAAGTTGGACATCCGAAATGGAGGGGGGGGGTTGTTAGAGGATTCGTGAACATTTAAAAGAGTTCATTGCCAGGTGGAGTCGGTTACCCCAACAGCTAGAGTTAGTTACAAGACTTCATTCCACGTGTATTGAATCTGTATATATATATATATATATATCTGTAATTAATCAATAAATTCATTATTGTCTTCTTGATCATCGAATATCATACTTGTTGCCAATGAAATATACGTAATAACGTCAAATTGACTAAACTAAATCAAAACTCCGGTTGCCTGTGATGGTTGTTGGTCGTTTTTGGTTGGAGAGGGAGAGAGAGAGTGAAAAGGGTGGTTTCGGTTCGATATGGCGAGAGAACGAGAGTGAGAAGAATTTGGCAAAAGAAGAGCAGAGGAAATGAAAAGATCCATCTCACACGTTTGTTTCAAGCACGCGCACGTTTCAAGGACGCATGGAGTCTGCCTTGATAGAAGCGGGACTCGTTTAGTGTTTCCCGAGTAAGTAACTTACCCAACAATATATTCATATATCCACACAAAAACATAGCAGACTTTTCTTTTCCTATAAAAAGACAATCTCCTTCTCTGCAAAAATTCAGCCACAAATATACAGTAAGTGACGAAATACAGCAAGGAAAAACAAGAACCAGATAGAGAGAGAGAGAAAGTTAAATAGAACTCATATTGACAAACGCACAGATCTGCTAAGTAGTTCAACAATGCAACCCATCATTGAAAATGGGTTTTCCACTCATCTCATTCGGAGCCCAAATCCAAGCAGATTTGAGTTTAGATGTGTACTTAACATCTTAGCTTTATATACATATATATAGTGAGAGGCAAAGAGAGTGAGAAGGGTGGTTAAAGAAGAAGGAAAGAAAAGAGGAGCCCACATTGCAACGACTTGCTGGCAGACAACTGCATGCTTGTTGGTTACTCTCTTTTTCTCCCTCGATTGTTCATTCTCTATCTGAGATATCATAATTTAATTTAATTTTTTATTATTTTAAGTCCTAAAAAATAATTTAAGTATTGTTTATAAAGCTGTGAACCAATGCTTAAGTCGAACGGTTCAATGATCATCATAGGGCTGTCAATGGGTTGGGTCTGACTTAATGGACCCGATGGGACTGAATAGATTGTATCTGGTTTCAGGATTTAGACTGATGATCTGAATTGGGTTAGGGCCACTTCTACCCTATATATCCCAGACGGACTCAGATCCGACTTAAGCCAATGTATAAATATTTTCAGCAGGTTTATTATAATCAGTTCCATGGGGTCTGACCAAATGGACCCAAGAACCGATTGGTTCAGTTTTGGGTCTAAAATTATAAACCCAATTCGGTTCTAAGACCTCATTAGCATTTCTTGTCAGTTTGGGACCGGTTCTACCATGTCCCGACCCGTTGACAGACCCAAATGATCACATTATCCGGTTAAAGGTTTGCTGTCCAACTCAATGTTTTTGGCCATTGGGTTAAACGCCGAGACTGGAATGGTGGCCGTACGTTTTCGTGGGATGATTTTGATTTGCAAAAATGTAAGAAATGAGCTGCAAAAACGGAGAAGGGAAGGGTTTTGTGAGAGAACAGGGAGAAATTTGAGAGGTTTTTCCATTATTGCAGTTGGAAACAAATTAAGTAGGCCTAAAGATTATGTTGAATGAACTACAAATTAAAATGGAATAACTTGGAAAGAGTACGAATGCAAATACATACAAAATACAAGGTTTTACACTCATACTCCTTCCAAACTAATATTAGAAACTTTCTAAATCCAAAGTTTAAGTGAAATTAGGAAACCGAGTTTGAATATGAATACAAGTAGCAATGTAGCATGCAGCTTTGTCTATTTAAGCACCAAATCTTCACAAGGAAATTAATTAACAAACAGTGCTCTAACTATCTGAGCAAGAAAGTAGAAACACCACTTGAGTTGAGCGACCGATCAGTACCCAAGGAATGAAGTCAAATCGAGCTTCAGGGGTTTCGACAATGGAGTTAAAAAAGTTGCTGGCTGATTCTTCGACTGTACCCAAGGAATGAAGGAATGGTTTTCCCTTTCCCTTTCAGTTGAATTGTTTTACTCTCTCCAAGTTTCTGTAGAAGCATAAGAAGTCACCTTCTCTGGTTTCTTTGTCGGCGAGGAGAGCAACAACGGAAACCTATAAGAAATCACATCGTCCATCCTGCCACAACTAATGAAAAGATGAATCCACGACACAACCTCCCTGAGAGAGGAGATCAAAGTGATGATTTATTCCGGATCGACCCTGCCGCAGTTGAAAGGATGAATCGCTACCATGATCGCCCCCGAGGATTAAACGATGATCATTTCGGTATATCGACAGAACTGAAACTGCACGAAAATCCCTGGGTATTAAAGAAGACGTTGACGATAAGCTACGTAGACAACCTTTCTCGACTTATGCTGAAGAAGGTGTTGGTTCAAGCTTACATACTCTCATTCATGGAAGGTGAGCAGGTGGAGGAGGTGAATAATGGGGCGGGCACGCGGGTACAAATCAAGGATCTGGATACAGGTTCGGATCACGAGTTGACGTTGAGGATGTGGCCTGCCAGCAAGTGTTACGTTTTGAATGACAACTGGAGAGAGAGCTTTGTAAGGAGAAGGGAACTGAACGCAGGCGATGAGATATGGATGTATTGGGACCGTTACTACCGCTGCTTCTTCACCGTTCGTGGAAGAGTTGTTCAAATTAATTAATTTTTTTCTTTTTTTTTTTAATTTGGGGTGAATAAAACTGGAAAATTACAGAATTAATTAAAGATGTAATCTTTGTTTCTTATCTTCTAGTTTTAGTTTGTAGAATACGATTTGTTTATTCCTGTTTTTTTTCATTGAAGTGTGTTTTTTAATTTTCATGCTCAATACAAGAAATATTAATTTGTTCATATCTCCAAGCTGATTGTCTATAAGAACTAATCCCGACAAAAGATGCAGCCCATAGTCAAAACTCAAAAAAAAAAAAGTTTTTGGAATCAAGGCCCCATTCGTTTCTTACATCTGGTCATTTGCCTAGTTAGGCGCATTTTATCTTCTTTTCTTTCCTAGGAAAATTAAGCAACTACTGTTTTATTCATAATATATATATATATATATTAAAATAGAGGTAGAGCTTGCCATGTCATCAGTCCTCTCTTTCCTCTAAGAGCACTAGGAGTTGCCACTTAACATGGTTTATCTCATTTTTTCATCTCTTGTTTTTTAGGAAACTAACTATCGTCCACTTTTTCCTAAATTATTTATAATTTCTATTTATCCTCTCCCCCACTCTTCATCTATATCTATCTAAAGAAAGTTTCAATTAAACATTTAATAATTAATTAAATATTATAGTAAAATTATGTAATAACTTTAAAATATTTATTAAAAACACAAAAAAAATAATTATAATAGGTTTAATAATATTCCTATTATTAATAATTTCTTTTATGTATTTCATAATGAAATTATGTAATAACAATATAAATTATAATTTTCTTGATTATTTAATTTAATAACTACATAATATTTTCAAAAGATAAATAAAAACTTATTTAAATAACAACATATTAAAACTAGATAAATAATTATGTAACAAAATATTTAAAATTACATAATAACTTTAAAGAAATTAAATTTAAATAACAAAAAAAGATTAAATATTTTAAAAAGATTAAATATTTTACATATTATTTAAATATTTAAATAATGTAATATTTAACATAACTAAATTTTAAATAGTTAAAATAACGAATTTATGTAATAAATTTAAAAAGAATCATAAGAGTTGAATAATAATTATAATAGATTTCATAACTTTTGAATTAATAATAATTTTATATTTTACAAAAGTAAAAACGAAATTATGTAATAATAGTATAAATTATAGTTTCATTGATTATTAAATTTAATAAATAATTGATATTTTAAATTTTAAATAATGGTATTATTTAAATAATTAAATAATATTATAAACAACTAATTTTTAAATGCTTTAACTATCAAAATATTAATAACTAAATCATATCTTATATATTATTTCAAAAATAAAAAATAGATTAAATAACAAAATTATGTTATAACTTTAAAAAAAAAATTATCAAAAGCACAAAAGCAATTATAACTAGTGTGGCCCCATGAGATGCACGGTATGTGGCACCCCTCCCTGTCCTTCGCCCTCATAATCAAGACACTCTACCCCATCCCTGCCCCATCCTCGGTGGCAGGGAGGGTTGGAGGTGAGGCAACCATTTCCTGTCAGAGATGGGGAATCCCCAAAATTTTCCCACTCTGATATAACCACCTACAAATAATCTAATTGGTGGATATTTTACAAATAAGATTATGGGAATTTGGGGGTATTTTAGGAATTGTATTATGATAATTTGGGGGTATTTTATAAATGAAATTGTGGGATCCTAGGATTATAAGAATATGATGAAATACTTAGAGATATTTTAAAAGTCAATGTTAAATCTACTGATATTTTACTAATCTACCATCGGGTTTGGGGAATTATATGCAAACCTTGTCCCTAATTTGGAGCAAAAATATTTTCCCCATCCCTACCTTATCACTTTCCCATCCCTATTTAAGATTTGAGAAAACTTGCCCCATTCGGGGTGAGGCAAGGTATTATTTATGTTTTATATACTATTTTTTAATAATTATTTATGTTTTATATACTATTTTTAAATAAACTTTAAATGTTTCAATATAAGAATTTGAATACTAAATCATATTTTAAACAAAATTAAAAAAAAAGATTAAATAACATAATTCTGTAGTAACTTTAATATAAATATAAAATATAAAATAATAAAAAAATAAATATTATTGAAATAGTGGAAGTAGATTAAATAATTTAGAGGTATTAAATTTTTTTATTAGTTATTTATTGTATTTTCATTATAAATATATTTCAAAAAATTATGCATTTTCGCTATAAATTTTCAATAATTATTGGAGATTAAGCTATTGTTATTTTTTAGAGATTAGACTATTAATTTAGCTGTAATTAGGAGTGTTCACTAAGCAATTCAGTTCGGCTGGACATAGTTTGGCTAGCCAAACTGATATGATCGGATTAGGGAGTTGGACATTCGAAACTGACCAACTATTAGTGAAAACTAACCATTGGATAATTAATAAATGTTCAAATTTTTTTTTATGTTTAGTGTAATTTACATTAATCATTGTAATTTAATAAATTTTCATTAATACAACAATTATTTATTCATAAAAGATATTACTAATTGGCATAATTTACTAATTTCTATAAAATCAATAATTATACTTAGCAATTGTCAAGTAATTCTGGGAAACTCTTTAACTAATAATCCATAATTTTTAAATAAACAATAATTAAAAAATTAGAAAATTAATCTACAAAAAAATATATTTTCCAAAATTATTTAAATAATAATATGAAATCTTAGGAAAATTAAATTAGGAAACTAATTTATCAAAAATTGTTTCATATTTATTCAAATAACAATCCATTACTATTATTTTAACAAATAATTATGAAATAATTTAGGAAAATTATTAAATCTATCCACACTAGTTTAGACCACTTGGTTTACTTCAACCATACTTGGTTTATATTAATTAACAATAAATGATTTACTTCTAATTAAAATTAATGTAATTTACCATAATTACATTAGTTTACTATAATTATGTCACTTTGATTAATAGTAAATAATTTACACTAGTTCACATTAATTTATTGTTTGTTGCAAATAACTAATTTACATTAAATAATTTGTAGGGATGCCAATGGCAATTTACCATGTACAACTAGGGCCCTACCCTGCCCCACCCTAAACACGACATGTTTTCTCAAATTTTAAATAGGGATGGGGAAAATGTTTTTGCTCCAAATCAAGGATAGGGAAGAGATGGGGTTTGCATATAATTCCCCAAACCCAATGGTAAAGTAGTAAAATATTAGTAGATTTAATATTGATTTTTAAAATATCTCTAAGTTTTTCTTATATTCTAATAATCCTAGGATCACACAATTCCATTTATAAAAAAACCCAAAATTCCCATAATTCAATTTGTAAATTATCCACAAATTATATTATTTTTAGGTGGTTGTCTTAGGTTGGGAGGATTTGGAGATTCCCTATCCTCGACAGGGAATGGGTGCCTTGCCTCGAACCTTTCCCACAATCGGGGATAGGGCAGGAATGGGATAGTGTCTTGACTACGGGAGCAAGGGGTAGGGAGGAATGCCCCATCAAGTGTATCACACTGGCCCCGCTAGTATCATTTGAAAGAGGCAATTTTGTCATATCATATATTGTTACCTTTTCCCAATGTGATGAAGTTATATATCTACTTGGGATATGGGTATCACTTATACCAGGGGTGCAATTTGGATGAGCCCAGCCCGAGCCTAAACCGCCATACCATGAAATTCTACACAGTTGGGCGTGGATTTTTGGTCCTCGAGCCGAGCTCGGGCCTAAGAAGTTGCGCTTTTTAATTTTTCGAGACATGCCCGAGCCTAGCCCTCAGATAGTCTGAACCCGACCCAACTATATACATCCATACATACATATGTATATATATATAGAGAGTAGGTTCATTGACCAACCCAATCTGGGCCCGTGTTGACCATATAAACCCAACCCAACCCACCCGACTTGCACCCCTAACTTATGCTCAAGAAAAAATCATTTATTGTGGACCCATTACCCATTTGTCAGATATCGCTTGTACCCTGAAAAATCATTTATCGTGGAACCCATGATTTACTGAAAAAATGAAAGTTTATTATTGGTCAACAGGATCTACTTTTCCATTGAATTACATCTTGGAAGATAATATTTGGTAATTGTGTTTGTTTTAAGGCTGGCGAAAATGTCTGGGTGGTGTAGTAGGTCATCACGCTAGTCTCACACACTAGAGGTCCCCGGTTCGAACCCGGGCTCAGACAATTGGTTATGTATGACTTTAAATTTTTGTTTTAAATTTTAAGCGGCCCTATTTTCTGTTCATGCTGTCTGGGCTAGAGACTGCTGTGGCGTTTGATAATCTGATAGCAGTCGGAGAAAGGAAGAAAGACATTGGCCGGAAATACAGGCGTTTGACAATACTGAAATAGGGTGTGAACTAAGGAATATCTAGGTTGGGCTGGACTTGATTCGAGATCTATGTATTTGGGCGGGCCCAGCCTGAGCCCAAACCGGCCCAATACGAAATTTTATAAATTTTTATCCTCGGGCTGCATTCGGGCTCAAAAAGTCGGGCTTTAATATTTCGGGCCACCCCGGGCCTCTAGCCCTCATATAATCCAAACTCGAACCAACTAACCCGACCCAAGCCCGAGTTCATAAACCCAGCCCAACCCACCCGACTTGCACCCCTACTTATACTCAAGAAAAAATCATTTATTTGTAAAACCCACGATTTACTGAAAAAATGAAAATGGATTGTTGGACAACACGATCTACTTTTCCATTGAACTACATCTTGGCAAATAATACTTGGTAAATATTTCTATTTTTATGTAGACAAAGATGTCTGGGTGGTGTAGTTGGTTATCACGCTAGTCTCACACACTAGAGGTCCCCGGTTCGAACCCGGGCTCAGACATTTGTGTGCTACATCCATATAAAATTGTATTCTTTTATTTTTATTTTAATTATTTGTTTCAACTTTTAAGCGACCCTATTTTCTGTTCTTGCTGGCTGGGTTAGAGACTGCTG